AAAAAAAATGACAGAGTAGGGCCTCCCTGGTGGCCTAGGGGTTAAGTCTCAGCACTATCACCACTATGGACTAAGTTCGATCACCGGCCAGGGAGCTGACCCACATGGCACAGCAGACCTCTCCTGTCTTGCCTGCTGCTCCCCTCAGCAGTGTATTTCAGTCAATCTGCCTGTTCTGCTCCCCCTTCTGCCTCTGGTGAATCCTCTCACCCCCACACCTCTGGCCTATACCCCAGTTCTTCTACATAAAAATAAAGTAAAATAAAATAATCTAAAAAAAAAATGACCAGGGGCCTCCCTTGTGGTGCAAGGTTTAAAGTCTCAGTGCTATCAAGCTATTACCAGTCACTGTAGCATGTGTTCGATCTTTGGCCAGGGAGCTACCCATATGGTGCAGCAGACCACTCCTGTCTTGCCTGCTGCTCCCCTCAGCAGTGTGTTTCAGTAGATCCACCTGTTCTGCTCCCCACTCTGTCTCTGGTGAATCCTCTCACCCCCCTGCATCTCTGGCCTGTACCCCAGCTCTTGTATGCATAAATAAATAAAATAAATCTTAAAAAAAATGACAGAGGAGAACTTAAAATAGGAAATTTGATTGTTCAGGGAGGTCGGGGAGGGTCTCTGGAGAGTCACCAACAAATTGAGGTCCAAAGAACTGAGAAGTTTTGACTAGGAAAAGAGGACTCTGAGGGAATATATTCAAGGCAGAGGAAACAGCATGTGTGGAAAAGTCTGTGGCAGAGGAAGACTGGAAGGCCTTGGCAACTGCAAGGAGATGGGGTTCTGTTTGTGAAGAGCTTTAGCGGCGAGCCCGGCACACAGCTCTTTGGGGAAGCTATTGTAGAAGGTAGATGAACAGAAAATGTATGTGAGGAAATGCAGGTTGAAAATAATCATGGAAATTTTTCAGGCTCAGAAATAAAATTAATATCACAAAGTACTATTTTAAATAAATGAGAAAAAATAAAAGATGTTATGATATAGTACAGGATCCATTTCTTGGGTAAAATAAAGATATTTTCTTCTTGGAATTGTAGTGAGTAAGACCATCTATGACAAGCCACTTAAATTGCGTAGTATTTGGTAAACAGTCAAAAATGTATCGATTATTACCTTTTATAATTATTAAATTAAGACTGACAGGTGGTAACAAGATGCTAAGTTCAGATAGTTCAGATATTGCCATTAGAAAAACATTTTTGGAAATACATTTGGCAGTACCTTACCAACTAGAGCTATTATTCTTTGACCCAGTAACAACACTTTTGGGGATCTAGTCTCAGGATATAACCCAAAAGAAGGGAAAAAAACACATGGACAAACACTTATTGTAGTGTTATCATGAAAAATTAGAAATAATCTACATATCCAACAACAAAGAGGTTATTAAATTATTTGGGTGCTTACTATATGTCAGGCTTTATATATATATATATATGTATATACACACATGCACATGCACATACATATATAAACAATGCAATACGGCAAAGTGAAATATTATTTGTTGCCATTGTTTAGAGACTTTGTTCAAGGTGACAGGATGAATAATAAGCAGAACCTAAATTCAAACCCAGATTTATATGACTTCAATGTTGTTACAAGTACAGATGGTTAAGATGGCCTGAAAATCAAAGTTCAGTTCCACCACTTATTATGGGGTGCTAAAGGTTAGTCAACTAACCTTTCTGTGTCTCAGTTCCCTTATCTATGAAATAGAATAATAATAGTACCTGCCTCAATGGATTAAATGAGTTGACACAAAAGTACTTGAAAAGTTGCTATAAGAGGCATAGAAGTACGAACCATCCAAAGCCATTAACACAGATTTTAATCAAGATAATGTATAATTTTGGTGTAATGGTAAATGAAAATATGAAATTGCATCTCTGCTATAATAATCTAAAAGGTATTGCATACATGGACAAGAACTGGAATTTCTGCAGACAAAAAACTGTACTTATTGAGGTGTTGGTAGTATAGTGAATTTGTTTTCATTTATAGTAATGATGTTTTATAAGAACAAGAACAATAAGGTATAGCTTTGAAAAACTATAACTTTAAGAAATTTCCAGTAGAGTAGTTGCACGCTATTGTTTCTGCTGTATAGAAACTGTCCTAACTGGGGACTTACCCTCACACTAGGCTATTTGAAGGGCTCACAGTTAGTGGCTGAAGCAAGGTACTATTGCATAAAGATTAATTTTGCAGACTCTGAAATAATAATAGATCCTGGTTAAATTTCATGTGGATGGCTGCACAACTCAGTGAACATAAGCCAGTTACTAACCTCCCAGAGCTTCGGCTTCCTCCAAGTCAAAGGTCTTAGATACCTCCTGCAGGTTTTTTGTTTTAGCTTTTTTTTTTTTTTTGAGTGATAAATAAGAGAATATGACACTTCCTTGACTTCTGCCCAAGACTATCACAATTATGATTAAATATTCAATAGAGTAATTAGTTGTTTCATATCTGCCCCTTGGAGACATCCTCTAATGTCTCAGAAGATTAGCTCCACCAGAGGGTGGAGTATCGCCCACACTAGCATGATGTTTCATACATAGCAAGCGCTCAAGACAGAGAATGAAGGCATGACATCTTGCAGGAGTGGACAGTGATGGTTTCAACTTCAGAAAGGATGTTGGCACAGGAGAAGACCCGAGCAGCACCCCTGGGCTCCCCTGCCACAGCAGGACAACTGCCCCTGCCCCCAGGTACCAGCCAAGGGGGAGGTGGGGACTGAACTCGGAGGCATGACCGGCACAGGGCTGGATGCAGAGCGTCTGTCTGGAAATAGATGGACCCAGTTGTCCAAACCAGGAACATCAAATCCTGGGAGGATAAGGGTTAAGGTGGAATGTGGAATGTGGCACGTGGGGTGGAGAGCCCTCCATGCAAACCTCAGTAGTTACCTGGGCTAAGCAGGCGCCCCAGCCCCTCTCACCACTACCTCAACTCACCCAGAACTACACTTTCTGGTGTCTCACTTGAAACTTTGGGTGGGGGTCAGGTCAAGACCATTTTTCCGCTGGAGGACATGAGTCAGTGAACAGTGAGGTTCCACTTAATCACCACCCAAGAACAAGGTCCTAAAAATCAGCAGCTAAAAAAGCAAGGAAGTGATTAATATAAAAATCAGGATAATGAGTGTTCCTTGGGCAGGATGGCTGGGGGTGGTGTGGGGGGCTGGAAAATGCTGGAGGGAACAGCGCCCGTCCCGGATCTGACATGGTCTATTCCTCGTGGCTGCTTTTCAACTTTAACCTCACACATCCCCCCACCTTCCCCGTGTGTATTATGTTCACAATTTTAAATAGCTGAAAAACAAATTACAAACCATAACAGGTTTTCAAATGGGGTCTGGGAGTAGGGAAGGAGACCAGATTTTTATTTTTAAAATATCAATTGGGTATTGAATGGAAAATTGATTGCCAATGTGGCAAGGCCAGCCACAGAGAAAACAGAAGGTCAGGTGCTGCTAGAATTACTATAGATAATGACTGAGCTAAGAAAAGGCAAAATATTAGTGATGGCATCTACATTTTTTTTTTTAAACAACCAAAATAAAAGAGAGGCTGAGACTGGCCCCTTGGTTCACTCCATGCATGGGACACATGTGGCCCAGGAGTTATTGTCCGGGGACAGGCACGTAGCTAAAAAGACACATGGACCCTGGGCCTTCTCACCTCCCTGGTAATAACTTCACCCATCCAGAGCTCAGGCTTCTGGGCCAGTGGTATAGAAACATGTTTATTAACTATTATCCCAGTTAAGCTGACATTAGGGTTTCGGCCATAACATGTAATCATCAATAATAACATGAATCACGCAAGGCTTTTCAGTGTTTGCACATCTACTATCTGGTCCCAGAATGTTAGTCACATAGGGGAGACATTCTCACTTTGTTCACTGCTGTAACCTCAGAGCCTAGAACCAAGTGTGGACTATAGTAGGTACTCAATAACTATTATTAAATATCACATTTGATTGGTATTATTATTGAGAGTGAATCATCGCAGTGATCCCATGAGAACAGAAGGGTAGGACTTACTACTCCCATTGTAGATATTAGGAGACAGACACTGCAGGAGATCAAGGAACATGCCAAATAGTTGATAACTTGCTCAACAGTCATGATTTAATTTCAGGTTTTCTGCTTCAATTCTCTTGCTTTTCACACTTCGTCACAGATGAAGGGCTAAGGTCTGAAGTTTTTAGAGGTCTGAAACTCCGGATGGGAGTGTTCCAAAATATCGGATGGCACGCTCAGACAGCCTGTGTCACGGGTGCCAGGGTGTAGTGTGAGCAGGGCCTACCCAGAGCCCCTGCACCTGGAACCATGGAGCAATCAGAACTGGGTGACCCCAGGCTGCTCTGTTCTTGTATTTCATGTCCCTTGCTTGTCTCTACTCCCCATTCTTGCTATTCCTCTTCTCCAAGCAAGAGAAGGCTAAGGGAACCCCATTATTGCAAAAATTTATTTTAATTTTTTTCTTAGGGAAAAAAAAAAAGAAAAAACCACGAAATGTGGCAGCAGATGGTGTTGGGGCTGTTCAAGAGCCTTTGTCACCCAAATGAAATCCCACCCGTAGGCTGAAAATGCAATGTTCCGTGAGACGTCAGTTTGTTCACTTTCTTCTTAATATTAACTAAAATGAATAATTTGAAGCATAAGCCACAACTCTGATACCTGGGAACTCCAGATGCTAATTAACATTATACACCTGGATCACACTTAAGACACGTGGAATTATGCGTGTCTAACATGGACCCCCTCATCAAACCATAAGAACTAGCAAACAAAACACTAAAAAAAGGGATTTTGGAGAGAATCTCTAAAATACACACAAACCACTTAGCAGAGTCAAACTTTTAGGTCCCTTTCCTCCCTTTTGCCCTGTAAGGTCTTATACTCACGTTATCCCAAAAGCAATTTGGTCGAGGAGAGCGAACCATCCTGGCTAAGTAGTGTAGGTAACAAGACTGTCACACATAGGACTCACCAGAAATTCATTGCCAAACTCCTCTTTGTTAATTTTCTTGTTCTGGGCCCTGTCCAGGTACTTTTGCAGGATTTCTCTCTGGTCCATGCTGCAGGGCAAGCGTGATGGTCTGTAAATGGGGTGAGGAAGGCATGTCAGATGTGTGCCATGGCCCAGACACCCCGAAAGCCTCCACTGCAACCTGAGCAGAGAGCGGGGAAGGTTGTGGTTTACTGACTTCATCACAAGCCCTATAGGAAATTAGTACGTAACCGCCTCTGTGGTCACACAACAAAGCCATCATCTCACTCCTGGGCCCTAGTGCCTTCCTCTTAGCAAGGGAACCGGTTACAATTTAGGTTTTTAACAAACAAGAGGCTACCCGGAACACAACATGTGGTCTGCTCAGTTCTGAGGCTGTTCCTCTCCAGCATGCTTAAGCAAATTCGCCATTTTTTTTGTTTCCTAGAGGAAACACAGAACCACAGAACTCTAGATAGGCCCTGCCTCTCCCCATGTCCCTAATGAGCACAAAGGTCCATTGATATTTCTGTTTTCTTCTGTCCCACATAAATTCTGCAAAGTGCAGGCGGCCCAGAAAGGGGGGTGACCCTATTTCTAGTCAGCCACCTTCTGCTGTGTTGCCCTCCCAAGTTTCTCGTCCACGTGGTGAGTGGCGAACATCTGTCCATCGGAGGCGTTGCTTTCATTCAGAACTTTTCAGTCTGCTGTGTGGACCTTAAACTCTCTTTTAGATGAAACAAAGTCAGGTGCTTCTGCAGTCTGTCTCTCCAGGGCTGGGGAAATGCCAACCTCCATTAAGGGAAGTGCTGATTTCAGGGGCTGCCCACCTTTCTCTACTTTTTGAGCTCCACTTGGATGCCAATACTGAGAGCTTTGATCTTGATAGGATCCAGGAGCACAGTGGTCCTGTGAGGCGCCCCTCACCAGGTAGTTGGTACAATACCCCTGTCTGTAATAAGCCACTGAGCAAGTCAACCCTTGCTGGCAAGAGTGTAATTTTTCAGGGCAGAAAGCTTGCAGAACTATTTCTAGAGACAGCATTTCTTCTCTGCAGCCAATGCCTTCAACTTGCCATTGCTTTGGGAAGCCACGCTGTGCACGTGGCATTTTGATGCAGACAGGCAGGCTGTTTTAAAAAAAGCTCACCTGCATCTCCTCCTGCATCAATAGGAGCAATGGGTGCACCTCCTCAGTGGGTCCAAACCAACCCAAGAGGGTCTTTTTTGGTGTGATAACAGGCAAAAATCAGTAGATCACCTCTGTGTGAGGACAGGTCAAGAAATAATATGCTGAAATTAGTCTGAAATAATCCTAAGGAAAAGAAGAAAATGCCTTGTTAGAACTTCCTCTATTTAAGGTATTAACATTATTCAAACTTCCTTTAGGAAATCTTGATTCTGAACATTATTAAGTTGCAGCCACTTCATGAAGCCCTGCAAATAATAAAGGAGAGGTCATTGAAATATGCTGCTTATAGGCAAGTAAAGCCCATAGGGAATTTCAATCCCAACACACATAAATTTAAATGAACCATAATTCTTCAATGATAATTACTGAGAATAGGATAGTATTGTTCAAATGATTGCCATTGAGCATTAAAAGAAAATTTCTAGCTGCTCTAAATAGTACAACCTTTAGTTTGTCTACTTTAAGACATATAAAATATGGGAACACTTAAACAAATGCAAAGCTGCAAGGTCACATTAACAGAAACTAAGTGAAAAAAGATATATACTATCACTGAAGACACAGATGCAATAAAGAATCAGTTGTGTAAGTGCTGGGATTAGGGTGCTTTTTAAAATTACCACGCCATTTTTTAATTAGAAAAAAATCCCCACAAAAAACATTAATTTGGGAACCAATTTATTGAGTACCCACTAAATGCTAAGCACGAAGGTCCCGAGTATACAATCGTGAACAAGGCAGAATATGGTGGAAAACAGCCTTAACTAGTTCATAAAATCTCTCAGAGCTAAAGATATAAACTTAACTGAAACATTCAAACCAACTTGCTTCTGAGCAGAGTGGCAGAGCACAACCCTAAAAGGATAATGATTTTCTGCATTTGGACAAAAATATAACATCTCTGGCCCCTTAAATTGTCTTTACTTGCATAAGAATCAGAACTTTACTAATTAATACATAAAAAGATACCTAATAAAATTAAATTCAATAAATCTATTTTCCTCAAACCTGTATTTCTGAACAATCTAACTTTATTATCTCACGTAGCGGGGAGAGGAAATGGAGACAGATCTGAAATAACAACAAAAAATTTGCTCAGATGCCCTCTGTAGGCCTCTCACCCTTTTATCTTAGCAAAACTGAAGATTTTTTTTAAAAAAACAAACAGCAATTCTTGGGAGTTTGTTCTATTCTCAAACCAAGCAATATAGAAACATCGTGAAATAACCAAACCTCAAAAACCCACTTTGCAGAAAGGCCATTTCCTGGACAGACCACTCAAGCAAACAAAAAGCAAACTGAAGGAGAAAACAAAAAAACATCAGTTTTATTTTTAACAAATCTAAGTTACTGCTTAATTTTTCACACTTCCTTCTACAGATACCCAGAGGGCATAGGAACCTAATTTGCTTGTTGACGGAGATTCTGTTGACTCATTTGTATCATGTGGGAAGATCAAGAGCCAGGCAGGGGAAACAAGTCATACAGCCGACTGGCAAACACCTAAAGGAATTTAAGAATTGACGGATGAAACATTTAAACCGGTCTGGTATAAACCCCAAGTGAACACGACAATTCCATTCAGACAAAGACTCATCAACACCTCATCAGAACCACCAGGCTGAGTTCTTGTGGAAAGTAAAATTGGGCCAGGAGCACTTGAACGGGAGTCAGGCAGAAACATCTCGCTGCTGCTGGTGTTGGTTTAGATGGGCGAAGATGACCGAGAGGAGTGCAGGTGACCGTCACCTGCTCCAGCAAGAGGGGAGCGTGCCATTTTAAGGTCAATGTCAAGGTTGTGCAGGTTGGGAATGAGATGACAACAAAAAAAAGAACTGTAAACAAAGAGAATGTCGGGAGAGATTATTAGGACAAAATAAACTAGTCAGCAGGGAAGATACTCAGGCCTTCCAGAACATTGTTCTCTGTCTATGAAGAGGCGTGTTCTACCTGGGGAGCCACTTAGCTTCTGCTTTAGTTTCCACCTCCTCCCACATTCCCAGGGTGATCGGTTTGATATGGGCTGAGTGTGTCATCTGTGAAACACTCGACTCAGTCCCCTGTCGCTAAAGCCTATTGGTTCTTTCTCCTCAATGGCTTTTAGGTTCAATCTATCTTCTACTCCTGTGTGAACCAAACTCCAGATGTCACATCCAGATTCCGGTGGGAATAGACTCTTAGTTATCTTCTCATCTATGTACCTTGCATTCTAGTATCTCCTGGCAACTGAAGCTGGATGACAATCCTCAAAACCCCACTTTCAGGACCTCCCTGGTGGCCTAGGTGTTAAGTCTCAGCTTTACCACCTCGTCAGCCTGAGTTTGATCCCCACAGTTTGATCCAGGGAGCTACCCACATGGTGCAGCTGACCTCTCCTGTCTCACCCCCTGCTCCCCTCAGCAGTGTATTTCAGTCAGTTTAACTGTTCTGCTCCCAGCTCTGTCTTTGGTGAATTCTCTCACCCTCCCACCTCTGGATTATACCCCAGTTCTTTTATGCAAAAATAAATAAAAAATCTTAAAAAAAACCAAACACAACAGCTCCACTTTCATGCTAAAGAACCAAAGTATTTACTGATGCCTATTTACTGATGCAAGTCCAAATTCTGCTACTTGTCACCAGGCCCCTCCCCTCAGTGTCTCCACCCAACCGACACAACCACATACCCACAGATCTTGCTCATTCCACTCTGCTCTTTCACTACTTCTCACCTTTGTCCGTATCTCTCACCAAGATGAAAATGAAGCCGTAATGCCTTGTTACTTTTTCTCAACAAATCCTGTCTCTAGTCCACCCATGACCTTAGTCTGAACCCTTTCAATATAAATCTTATTCAACTACAGAAGTTTTCTTAGTTTCTTCACATGTTCCTTGCCCCCCACAAGTTCATTTAAAAGGAGTTTCTTCAAAATAAAATACAGTAACTGCCCCCCTGTAAAGTTTGTCAAAGGCAGCTAACTAGAGTGTCTTCTGTAAGTTTGTATCACCCCTGGTACCTCCCCTGGCCTTGAGAATGCCTGAAATAAGTGTTGTGATAGTGATGCCATGATGTGGATAGGCTTGGGTGAGACATTCACTCTGCCTGGGTTGCTCCATCAATTATTCCAGGTCTCTTGCCTGGCACAATCTACACAAGTCCCGCCTGGGTGCTTTCACTATGCCCAGAACAGATGGGCCTTCCCTACAGGGAGGTCTGGGGCCCTGCCAAAGAGTATACCAGCCTGAGCGTGGCTACCAAAGCAGCAGGCTGCAGTGACGACAGAATCGGTGTCACACTGAGCAGAGGCCAGCCGGCAGGGCGGTGCTGGACAACAAACACGACCTCCTTTATCTCCAAATAGACCGGTTTCTCCTTTGTGCAGAGGAACACCGAAGAAACTCTGACACCTCTAATGAAGATGGCTTGTCTTGGTGTTTCCACCTCATCCACAGCAGGTGCATCTCCTGTCCATCTTCAATGTGCACCTGGTCACTGCAGCGTTCTGAGAGCTCACCCAGTTCTTCAGTTCACCTGCTGTTAATTTCATTGTCCACTTCCCACCTGCAACACAGGGAACCCGCTTCCCACCTGCAACACAACACTCTGCCTGTGGTTTCTGGATACAACCCTCCCCCCAGAGGTCAACTGATAACTTGCAATTTAAGCAACTTCCTTTTTTTTTTTAATTGAAATACCAAATGGGACTCTTGGTGAGGCTTGGTATTTTGATTTATATCAAAATATAAACAAACCTAAAGTCTCATCTTTCATTTGATTGTGTCAATGTTGAATCGCTCATTTAGTCACTTAATGAATATTTATGTGATCATACACACACACCAGAGAAAGGGGGAAAGAAGAGCTAATGTGCAAGAAATTGTCTTCTTTCAAGAATCCTTTGTTCTAGTAGGGAAGACAAATATACAAAAGACTATCGCTTAAGGCTATTTGTGACAAGACCATAAAAGTGACACCAATGAAATCTTGAGACGGCAAAGGTCACTTCTTATTTGGATTATTTGAGTAGCTTTCATAGAGGAAGTGATGTGTAAGTTAGATTTTGAACTTGTCTCTAGAACCTGAGACAAAACAATATGAAACAGTAGGAGGGTAGGATAGTAAGTTGCTGGCTTGACTGGATCACTGGTATGTAAAGTCTTGACTAATTAGGACCAGACTTCTAGGGAATTTGAATATCAGGCTGAAAAGCCAGGCTTTATTTGAAGGATATTGAAAAGTACTGAAAGGTTTTTTTTTAACAACTTTATTGGGGTAGTATTGACATACAATAAACTGCACATTTCAAAGTCCTTGCTTTGATGAGTTTTGGTGTGTGTGTATACCCAGAAAAGAGCACCATGATCAAGACAGTGAACATATCCAGTCACATTCAAAAGTTCCGCTGAAAGATTTTAAATAAATGGCAATCAAAGCAATGCTTTGTGAAAGTATCTCAGTGATATTTAAAAAAAAAAAAAAAGCTCCCTTCTGATAATTTTTTTGAAAGTCTCATAAGCACCTTCAGTGGTGTGTAAAATTTCAAAATGAATTCTACCACACCTAAGAATGAATTGAAAGAGTGGGTAAGGAAACCACAGTGTTAGCCAATCTCATAATAGTATTTTGGGCAGATTGGAAAGGTTAAGTGGTAATAAACTCTTGTAGGAAGAATCAGGACAAAAAGGAAAGAATAAGTGAAAAAGACTAACGTCTGAGTAGGACTGGAGAGAGAAGGGTAAAGCAATAGGAGTTCTGGGCAAGCGGGATGGCAATCTAGAACAGTCTGGGAATAAGAAAGGTATGTTCATAAAGAATTAAGAGTTGTGGACATGGATTTGTGAAAAAGATAAGTCAAATTCAAAACTGTCATGTGAGTCGAGAAGATTGGCTTGCCTTGGAGAGACAGTTGATGGAAAGAAGCAAGTCAATCTAGAATTTTATGAACCCCGATCACTGGAGTGGCAAATTGTCAGTGATGCAGTACTCAAAATATTCCTGGCACTGGGCCTAGCCCTTTACAAAGTATATTGTTTCATTTATCCCTCACAATAATCCTACGAATTAGTTATCATATCATCTCTATTTTAAGATGTGGAAACAAAGGCACAAAGGAATTGGACTAATTGCCCAATGTCACCTGATTAACCTATGTTGTGGCTAAATTGTTAAAAATCAAACGACCTGAATATATTCTTCATCCCTGGGCTTAATCTTGTAGCCAGTCGCTTTACCTCTCCTAGGACAGGGTGGCCCAGCAACAACACATCACCCAGCCAGAGCAGCTTAACCATTTCCTGGAATCCCCAGGGGCACCTTAACCTCAGTCTCCAGATACTACAGGATACTTGGAACTAGATTCACAGTCTGATGCTTTATGGGAATGGAGGGTAAAATAGGAAGCTGGTGTGGCTAAGAAGGGAAAGAAAAGAGATAAAGAGGAGGCTGCTGGCCTCGACATTTATCATTCAATTTATTTTTTTTTGCAGTTTTATTGAGGTATAAGTGACATGTAACACAATGTAAGTTTAAGGTATGCAATCTAATGCTTTAATACATTTATGCCCTGAAACGTGATTACCTCAATATAGTCAGTTAGTACTTTTATCACCTCACAGACTTATATAGCTTTTTTTTTTTCTTTTTTTGTGGTAGGAAATTTTACAAATCAACTCTCTTAGCAACTTTTAAATAAACAGTGTTGTCAACTCTAGTCACCAGGCTGTACATTACTATCTAGAACTTTTTCATCTAATCCCTGCAAGTTGTAGCCTTTAACCATCTTTAACCCTCTGGTGCTGGCAACCACCGATCTGTTCTATTTCTGTATCATTCAGCTTAGACGGTACTTGCTAAACCATAGTAGAAATGCATAGAAGAATTTTATTTTATGAACTGAAAAGCATTAGTCAAAGTGAAAATAGTGATATTGTCTAAGAGGTCAAATACCACAAAACTTAGCATGTTGAGTTTGAGAGTAATGTAAGGAACAAAGGACAACAAGTGTCTTAAATTGGCAGCAAAAAAATTAACTTCCACTAAAGAGAAACATGAAATCGCATTCAGGATTGCTAAACCATTGTGATTTATTCAAGAATAGAGGAAACAGCGTACCTGGAAAATGTCAACTATATTAACAGCACTGTACCTTTGTCTCTGTGCATTTTAAGGAGCCAGATGGCTGGCTGGCTGAAGGGAGGGGATGTGGTTAGTTTGTTAAAGTTTAGCCAAAGCCATAAAAAACAGATATAGCAAAAATAGATATGGCACTGTATTTCTTCTTGACATTCAGGTAAGTGATCTGGCTTAGAGACTGGATGAAGGAGTCTCTACCTGATGATTGCCTACTAATCTATGAAATTACGATGGACAGCTATGAGACACACAGACCCTAGACACTCAGTGCTTTGCTTCCAATCACTTGTTTCTCTATGTTACTCAGGAGTCACGGAGCTCCCTGGTTTTTCAAAGGTCCTAGAGAAAGTGGACTTGAAGTAAATTTACACTCTCAAAGTAAATTCTGAAAAAAGAATTATCCTATCTACATTTGTGTTTGGCAAGAATTATCTGGATTGCCACAGAATTTAAGTTGCTCAAGGAGAAATGTTTGTTTAGCTTTAGAGCAGAGGTCAGCAAACTTTTTCTGTAAAGGGTCAGATAGTAAAGACTTTAAACTTCACAGACCATAGAGTGACTGCCATAGTCATTGAACTCTGCCTTGCAGTGTGAAAACAGCAACATTCACAGACAATGTGTAAACAATTAGCTGCATTCCAAAAACTTAATTTACAAAAAAAAAAAAATTAGACTGACTTGGCCTGTGGTCAGAATTATCCAATCCCTGTTCTGAAGTGATGGTTCTTAAATTCTACAATAACATCAGAATTGCTTTGCAGAACAGGCTAGCCAAAGCCTGGGCCCCAGTTCACCCCTAAAGAATCAGAATCTTTAGGCATGGGGCCTGGAAATTAGCAATTTACAAGGTCCATAAGTGATATGGGAGCACACTTTTATAAACATTTGTGCAGTTAGCTTAATCGGAGCTGGGATGACTAGCTGTCCTGATTGGGGGCAGCACTTCCTGTATCCTGTGGCTGTGAAAATGCTCTTACTGTTCTTTCTCTGGCCTTTCTAGTAGGACAAATGAACAGACCGCTAATTTTTGATTACAACACAGAAAATGCAAAAATAATTCTGCTCAGATGAAGTTTAAATTGTGAGTTTAAAAGGAAATGCTCAAAATAATAAGATTTTACAATTACAAATCTCCCTGAAATCTTCTAGAGGAAAAAATTAGTAGACAAGATACTGATAGAACAAGACTACATCTGATGGACTAGCTTAATATGGAGTCCCTTTCCCCTGTGATATCTCCCACAAAAGCCTGTCCTGTTGCCTGGAATTCTACCATGTACAAAGTCATTGCTTTGGGTCTGGAGGTGCTGGCTTCAGCAGAACCTCAATAAAATTCACACAGACCTCTGTAGACCTTTGGGAATGGCTCCTACCTTTACCAATCAGTGGAAAAAGATTACCCAGTTAAGATCAGTTCTATGCAAAAGAAAGCCGTTTTTTATTTGATCCTTTGTTTTAATTGCCAACAATCAATCAACTCAGTCAGGCAAAGAAGAAGCACTGTGAAGGTTGGGAAACAGCTCCATTTCTTCTTTAGCAGCTTTCCACATGTTCCTAGGAAGGACAGTGAATAACACACAGTCAGAAGGATGATCGTAAGAACTTCCTAAAGAAACCAGGAATGATCTGCAGATACCTCCAGGGAATGTGGCTCTTCCTAAGGCATCTGCTGGCCTTGGAAATGAAAATAGTGCTCCATGAAAGCAGACGTTCTAACAATTACTGAGATGTGGGCTTAGAAAGCCTCCTATAGTTATTACTATGGCACACAACACTAATTGTTTTGTTGTTGTTGTTGTTGTTGTTGTTAGATAATAGTAAGATTATTCTGAACTTCCTCAAGACATATCCAAAGATGTTAGGGAAAAAGACCCAGAAATTTTCCAGGGAATGAAGTGATTCTAGCTGAGATTAGAACTCTACCACCCAGTATACTTTATAGATGATTGTGTGTAGGAAGTGGAAGTAAGCTTTACAGAATTAGCAGCCAACATTTTAGGCAGCATGACTCTGGAGTCCAACACCCACAGGGTGAGCTTCTGAATATTCCCATTTTTCATGGCAAGAAAATCCTGCATTTTCAGTGAAGTAGGGAGACATGTTTTCATGCTTGGTTTCCAACTTACAGAAAGAGTCACGAATAGGATACCAAGTGTAAGTACAAAAAGGGTTCAAATGACGAGCAAAGCCAGGCACCCTGGCATACTTACCCAACCTCCCTCGCCCTTGATGAAATCCCGGATACCACTGTTCTCGTTGATCATGGTTGTCATTGGGGTAACCAGCTGACGTGCTATTTCAGGAGCCTTTTCTGCCACACATACAACAAGTTTTACTAACATTCCCAGGAAGGCTCTCTCAGAAGCTAAGGTGGAATCCTGAGCACACAAGGACTTCACTTTGTCCTGAAGTATAGCTTTTGCCTGGGGACAGAGACAGGATACATCAGTGGAGTATCACTAAAAGAAAGTGCAGGAGGCTACAGGTGCAGGAATCCAATAAAGCCAATGTTTCCCAAAGAGTGGCCAATGTATTTTTTTAAATTTATTTTTTTTATTTATACAAAAGCTGGGATATAGGCCAGAGGCGCAGGAGGATGAGAGGATTCACCAGAGACAGAGTGGGGAGCAGAACAGGCAGATGGAGGAAAGCACTGCTGAGGGGAGCAGCAGGTGAGGCAGGAGAGGTCTGCTGTGCCATGTGGGTATCTCCCTGGCTGGCTGGAAATTGAACCTGTGCTGCAGAGGCTTTGGACAGCTTCACAGCACTGTGCTCAACCTGCTGTGCCACCGGGGAGGCCCATGTATTGTTACATTCTTAGGAGTCAATGGATAAAATCTTCTCATTTTAATATTTTGTTATTTATTGTAATGGATATTAGAAAAACAATTAAGAAACTTATCAAACCATGATTTCAGATATTGTTGCTCAGGATGAACAAAATGATTGAAAGAAAAACAAAATTGTTTGAAAGAAAAATACTAAATACATGATAGTGCGGCTGGTCACATTATGATGGTATTGCTTGAATGACTGAAGTCTGGGAAAATATGAATGTAAAAAAATTAGTTTTTCTTCTTTCTTTTTCTTTCCCTCTAAAATTTTGTCTGAAAGCTATAAAGTGGGGCCAAGCAAGAACTATTGTGCTGTAGCATAGAGCAAACCATGTTGGCCAAAGCAGGATATCAGAGCCCACGCAGCTGAGAAGGGATATCCACAGGAGACTACTGAAAGCTTCCAAATATCATTCTCCATTTTAAAAAAAAACAGAACTCCCTGGAGAATGGCTGGTTTCAGGCCAACACTTGAAAAACACAGGATCTGTTAAAAATGAAGTATTCCAATAATGATGAGACGATGTAAGAAAGAATTCATGACTCTATGATGATATAAAAAATAAATTAGGGGTCTCCTCTGGTGGCGCAGAGATTGAGCGCTGGGCAGCGAGGCTGCCCACAGCCTCTGCAGCGCCAGTTCGTTCCCCGGCCGCCGGCGAGGGTCCCACCAAAAAAAAAAAAAAAAAAATTAGTAGGGCCTCCTGGGTGGCACAAGGGGTTAAGACTCAACCTACGAAGCTGTCCGCAGCCACTGTAGCACAAGTTTGATCCCCGGCCAGGGAGCTACCCACATGGCGCAGCAGACCTCTCCTGTCTCGTCCACTGCTTCCCTCAGCAGTATGTTTTAGTCAGTCTGCCTGTTCTGTTCCCCACTCTGTCTCTGGTGAATCCTCTCACCCCCCCTATACCTCTGGCCTGTAGCCCAGCTCTTGTATGCATAATAAAATAAATCTTTTAAAAAAAGTTCCAACAACTTAAAAAATAATAATAATAAAATAAATAGGTTGAAATTTTGATGAAGTAAGGATATTTACACGGTTTCACAGTAAGTCCCTATGAACTACTTATTAATTATAAAATGGAAAATAGTAACTTTACAGTAGAGCGGACTTGCAGACATCTTCAGCGACTTGAATTAACATCAAGAAGGAGACAAGCTAAAGCCTGTGCCACTTGATGAAACACAATGAAAACACAGCAATTTCTGTGCTATTTCTATCAAAGGTACTACCAAATTCTGAATCTATCCAAGAGGTAACAGCAAACAGACCAAGTGAAGAGCCATTCTACAAAATAACCGGTCCATAATCTTCAAATTTCAAGGTCATGAAAATCAAGAAAAGACTAAGGAATCATTCCAGGTTGAAAGAGACTAAAGAGATAGGACAACTGGGGCCTCCCTGGTGGCACAATGGGTTAAGCACAGCACTATAAAGCTATTCGCAGTCTCTGTAGCACAAGTTCGATCACCAGACAGCCAGGGAGCAACTCACATGGCGCAGCAGACCTCTCCTGACTTGTCTGCTGCTCCCCTCAGCAGTGTATTCCAGTCAGTCTGCCTGTTCTGCTCCCCACTCTGTCTCTGGTGAATCCTCTCACCCCCTCCACACCTCTGGCTTGTACCCCAGTTCTTGTATGCATAAATAAATAAATCTTGTATGCATAAATAAATAAATATTTTAAAAGAGAGAGAGAGGAAATAGGACAACTAAATGCATTATCTGATTCTGGCCTAAATCTTTCAGCTATCTTTCATTTATCTTTCAATGATAAATGGTATTATTGGGACAACTGGAAAAACTTGAATGGATCTGAAAATGAGGTGATACTTCATCACTGCTGATTTCCTGGTTTTGATGATAAGAGAACATCCTTGTTTGAAGGAAATATAAACATATTAGGAGGTGATGAAACTCATTATGTTGGCTACGCAAATGATCCAAGAGGGAAATTCTTTGTATAAACATGTAATTTTTCTATGAGTTTGAGACTTTTGTAAAAAATAATAATAATGTTTCAGAGAGTTCCCAGTGCAGCAACCCATTCACAGCTTCTGAACCTAGCAGTGCTCCAACAGGGCAAAAATATCACACGCTACCCAGACTCAGTGGTCTATCAAGTCTCTGCAATTTTCCAGAAGAGTGCTGGTAAGGATGGTAACAACTGCAAACTCTCCCAGAGCCAGTGTCTAACCTTTGTGAATACAGAACTCGCTGTATTCACCAAGAATAAGAAGGATCCCAGGACCCTTGCCTTCATGATGAAGAAACTGGACCTCAGTTCTGATGGGCGGCTGGATTTTCAAGAATTTTTGAATCTTATTGGCAGCCTGGCCATAGTTTGCCATGACTCCTTTATGAAGTCCATTTGTTACAGAAGTAAATCTGAGGAGCCCTTGGGCCTGGCCTCCAGACACCCCCACATTTCCTCCTGGCCTCCCTATCATCATCCTTCCTCAAAGCCCACCAGGCAATAATAAAGCAGTATCAATTTTTTAAAACACACAGTGACAAAAAAAAGTGTTTTTAATTTAAAAAAAGGAGATCCATAGCAGGAATCTAGAAAACTTAAATAAGGGATCAGGAAAATGAATAACTATAAGAAAGTGAAAATCAAAATCAACAAAAAACTATGAACCAGAGACACTTTTTGGGGGGTGGGGGCCGGGAGGGGAGGGATTGGGGTCAGAATGGGGCATGTGCAGTTGTATGGGGGAATATAAAAATAAAATTTATTATTTAAAAAAAAATTAGCAAAATGTGACAAAGAGACATGAAGTGACTATGTATATAGATATTTTTTCCAGATACTTTTGAAAAGATGGCGCCTGTAAGCTATCAAATGCTAGGTTGCCACAAGTCTTCCATTTGTAAAAACTGTGCAATAAAGTGAAACAATAAAATGAGGTATGCTTATACTGTGAAGAAAAAAAAAAAAGGAGATCCAGTTATCAACTATCTAAGAAAGTTTCAGTGTGAGTAATTAGGAATAACAAGTTCTGCCTCAATGTGAAGGAGGCACATCAGCCAAACTGAATTTAGTAGAAAGAAAGCATAATAGTTATGTCTATATGTTCTGAGGGTTTTGTGTGTTATGCCTAGTGTGGTTCTGAAATCACTCTGGAGTCAAATCCTCACTTTACCACTTACAGAGTAACCTAATTCTTTGTTTCCCTACTCCCCAGTTCTCTTATCTGCTTATATGCATAGCAAATCCAAAAATCTGAAAAAATCTGAAAAACATACTGCAGACCTGTTGTGTCTCAGGCACTGTTCTAGGTTATGAGGGTATGATGGTGACCAAAACCTGTTAGATGTTTGCTTTGATGGTGTTGTGTGTATATGGGGAGAGATTGAGCTATGGATAATAGTTTCTAAAATGCCTCATAGAGGGTGTAAAAATTAAATGAAAGTAAATATGAAGCATTTAGAATACTAACTAGTACAGTGATGAGATAACATTAGTTGCCATTTTTGATGTTAATCAGCATCTTCTAGAACATAGTCTATGGTTTTTAATTCCAGTACAAAATCCAGTACTACTATATACTACTATCAGCATTCTGTTGAAAAGCTAGATATGGCCTGTGAGTTCCTGTAAGTACTTTGCATCAGACTTGTTAACAGCCTGTCCTTTCTATCTATGTTTCATTGCTGGACCTTGGGAAAAACAAGATCCCACTTCCAGCAAAGTAAGTATTAAAGCAGGTAGATAAAATGAATAAAGTACCTTATCAGAAATAGTGCTCTGTGTCTCTAAGTCCAGCTCTGATTATGAAAATCAGATGGGAAAATCTGAAGGTTGATCAGCTTATTCCAGAAGCTTTCCTTCTGAAACCACTTGGATTTTAATGAACTCTGAAAGAATTAGCAGTTGGGGGAACTCCTGCTGTATCTCTTTTTATGAATAGAAGCCCCCAAATCTTCCACAGAATATTTCTAGTCATCGTCATATAGGAGAAGTGAGAAAAGGGTATTTGAAGTAGGAAAATTTAAAAAAGCAGCAAACAATAGAAAGAAATAAGTAGAAACTTGACCTTTTCCTGCGTGAATTCTGTGATGACAGCTTGTGCAGTAGTTTCCACTTCTTTGTTGAACTCGTCAGCCAGCATCCGAAGGCGACCAGCAATGATGGCCTCGTCAAAAAAGCCAGCCCCTCCTAAAATGGAAGAGACACATATCGCTTTTGTCATAATCCTTGAAGGAATGGCAAATCCCAGGAAACTGGGCACTGTAGAACATTCTTTTGACTTTTACATAATTTTGGCCTCATTCTCATCCAAGAATATCTTCACTGTTCTGTCAACGCCAAGAGAAAATCTCCTTTCACTGAGAATCTCTTTCCTAGCCATGAAGATTTCAGATATTCCTGAAAGCTTAGAGTTACCTTTTGAAACAGAAGGAAATAAGCAAGCATATTCAGATTTGCTCAATGATCTACAATCACCATCTCCGACCAGGAGCCTTACCTGAGTCAGTTTCACAGTCACAGCTTAAGCTCCGGCTAGCAATCGGGGCCTGGGGGTTTAAGATGTCCTCGAGTAGATAGCTTATGATGCACTCAGTTTGCTCCTCAAAAGTTAGGGAATTCTTCATTTTAGATGTTTGCTGCCAAGTTTTGCTTTTCCACACAAGAAGTTTTCAGTAGACGTGTTTCCCTCTGGTGAAGTTTCCTACTGGGACATACAGTCCTAGAGCCGTTCTCACCCTTCCTGAAAAATAGCTGCCCAGAAAGGTGAGAATAGTGTGAAATGCTTAGGCACACAGAACTTATGGAAGACTTTTAGTTCCTTCTCAGAGCCACACCCTTGATAGTATTTAAGGTTAATGAATAACTTTCATTATTAGATAGCCAATTTAGAAGTGAAAAAGAGTTGAGGAAGGTCTTCTTGGGTAATGCCATTAAGAAATACTTCCTGGGCCTCCCCGGTTGCGCAGGGGTTGACCGCTGGGTTGCGAAGCTGCCCACAGCCTCTGCAGCGCCAATTCAATCCCCGGCCACCGGGTAAGGGTCCCACACGGCACACAGACCTCTCCTGCCGCCCGCTGCTCCCCTCAGCAGTGTACTTTGGTCCTTCTGCCTGCTCTGCTCCCCGCTCTGGCTCTGGTGAATTCTCTCACCCTCCCGCGCTTCTGACTGTACCCAGTGCTTGTATAAATAAATCTTAAAAATAAATAAATAAATAAATCAAATAATCTTTAAAAAAGAAAAAAGAAATACACCCTGTTAGGTTTAGTGTATGGTGTAATTTAACGAAAGAAGAATTTTTTTTTTAAAGAGGCATGTATTTTTATTTATTTGTTTGTTTGTTTATACATGCACTGGGTACAGTCAGAAGCACGGGAGGGTGAGAGAATTCACCAGAGCCAGAGCGGGGAGCAGAACAGGCAGAAGGACCGAAGTACACTGCTGAGGGGAGCAGCGGGCGGCAGGAGAGGTCTGCACGCCATGTGGGACTCTCCTCTGGTGGCCGGGGAGCAGCCGGGGATCGAACTGAGACAGGGCAAGCTAGGGTTATTAGGCAGTTTTTTAGGGACAATGCAGGAGGGGACCTCTGAAGAATTTAGGGAGGCTTCAGAGATAAGGACAACCAAAGAAATATAACCAATTCCATTAGGAAAACAAACATGCCAGGACCAAGGACAACATTGTTAATGCTGGTCCTGGTTTCCTTCAGGTGGTAAAGGGAGGCGGAGATTGGAGAAATGGAGAGTGGTTTAATTTATGGTCACATTAGAAGGGCAGCTGTTTAACTTCAATGCAGGGATGCCCATCCAGAAGACTGGGCCATAAATTTAAAGATGCAACAAATGGGGAAAGAGAAAGCTGTTAAATAAGGAACGTGAAGATCCCCCTACTCAGTAGCAAATTAAGTGAGACAGCCGAGAACTAACCAAACCAATCACAAAGAGACTGGGGCAGCTTTAGAATAATGAGGGAAAAAAGGTATATATTCCCTAAGACACGACTCCACTGTGGCTTCCTTGCCCCTCCCAGGCCTGGTTCCCTGGCTTGGGAGTCCCACTTTATTTCTGCTCTTTTTCTCCTCAATAAACTTTTTCTTCTAAACAAACCTGCCTCTTCTCGCTTGCTTGCCTGAGCGTCTGCGAAGTTCCTGCTGCGGCTTCGTGAGACACCAACCTGTGGGGGTCTAGTGGCTGGGGCTCAGCGCTGCCCTGCAGCCTGAAATCCAATCCCGGCTGGGAGACTAGGCCTGACAATTCCGGCATCAGAACCGGTGCCGCAGAGGCTGCGGGCAGCTTCACAACCCAGCGCCCAACCGCTGCGCCACCGGGGAGGCCCAGAAAGAAGATTTTGAAGATACTGAAGAATTTAACTCCTGACTATGGCATTTATTTGCCTCAATCATACAGTGATTATTCATTGAGTACCTATGCATAAGGGACTATATTTGGCACTACAAGTACACAGAAAAATGACATAGACAGTTGCTGTCCTCATGGAACTTACACTTCAGCATGAATGCCAGATATTAAGTGTCCTATCACATAATTTCTTGTGCTTATTGAAATAGTGTATGATTATAGGGAAACAAACCTATGGGGTTAGGTAGAAAGAACTTTTTGAAGCAATAACATCTGAGGTGAGCTCTGGAAGACAAATAGGAATTCATTATGCAAAGAGGAGGAATAAGACCATTTCAGGTTGAAGGAATAGAGTATAAAAAAGCTGGGGAGGGCATTTGAGGGATTATAAATGGGGATAATATGAAGTAATTCACAGGGAAATGATGAGCAGTAAATAAAATAATGTTGTGGAATGATCTGGCAGTATCTGACAAGCAAGAAATATTAAATGTCTCCTTTTAGACCAAGGTCTAGATCTATTTTCTTAATAGATTTGGATTCCATATTGTTCTAAGAGATCTAGGATTAAACTCTTACTCTTACCAATAGTATCTGTCTTCTTAATGTCTTCTTAATGTCTTCTTAATGTCTTCTTCTTACATCTAGTTTTGGGGTCTGGATCTCAATACCACTCGAAACCTATTAGCCCTTCTAGGAAATTCTGACTTGGTGAACTAAAAAGAGATTCAAGCATAAACTGTAAGTCAGTTGTTCCGAATGGAATTTTTATCTTGCAAAATAATGAGTAAAAAACAAAAGGTAAAAACAATTAAAGAAGAACCCCAGAAGGATCAGAACCAATACTGTTTTCTATTCCATTCCATAGAAGCAAGTTATCATAAATTGATTTTTGGACTAGGAATAGCTGAAAAGGGCTATTTTCACTTGTCAATATCTATGACTGGAGCTGAAACTTCAATTACTACTAAGGTTTCAGATCTCTGACATCAGAAGTTCACACTGATCTCTGACATCAGAAGTTCACACTGAGATAATTCTAGGCCAACCTCCTTTGAGCTCACCATTGACAATTTAAGATTCTAACAATACATTTACAACATACTCCTAAAATAATATATAAAAACAAAAAATGTTCTTAAGAAACCAGTCAACTGGTATTAAATAGCTTGTCTAAGTGAAGTGACATTAGTATGTGGCAGAATAAAAATTTAAAACATAAAGCAGAAAGTCAAATCTGTCTTAAATAATACACCTTTCCTTTCAATAATTAACCACCTTCCTCATTTCACTACTGATATGCTTATGGACCATATTTGAACCTAATCTTGATTCCTTTGCATTAACTTGAATAATCAATATTGTAAGGCTATAGAAAAAGGGTGTGTGCTGCCACAGGCAGTGTAATGTAAATTTTTCTGCTTTATTCCTCTTTGAGCCCATACTCAGGAGTTAGATTCTTACAGTTCTAATATTGGACTCCTTTATTACTAAAAATGAGGCCAGAATTTTTTTCACTATTTGCTTCAGTTGCTAAGGCCACAGTTTACTTCCCTCTCCTAAAAGTCTCTCTCTATATTTCTATATCTATATCTATATCTACATATCATTTAAAATTTAATTTTAATTGATACTTTAAAAGTGTCATTTTAAATTAATTCAATTTTAAAACTGACACTTTTCAAAAGCAAGTGCTATTCTGCCATGCCCCTTACATTACAGAAAAGTAAACAAATAGAACTTAATCTTCTAAAAGCTCCCAGTAGTTGGGATCATTTTAGTAACATTTATTCAATTGCTGAAATAGAACTAATTTTTTTAGGTCAATATTTCAAATATAGTCTTTAAATTAAAAAAAAAAAGTCAATTAATTATTTTCTACCACCTACATCCTGTTCCCATGTAACATAAAATTGGCAGAACTTTATACTTTAGTTACTTTAGTAAACACTCATGGTTTAACTGAACAAATCAAAAAAGAGAGAAAGCAATTCTTCCTTCCTTTCCCTCCCTCCTTCTCTCTCTTTTTCTTCCTTTCTTGAACTCTACTTCAACTTCCCAGGGAATCCATGGTCTTGACCAGTTGTTCTCAACTGAGGGTGATTTTGGCAATTGCCCCACCCCCAGAAGACAAATGGCAATGTTTGAAGATATTTTTAGCTGTCGCAACTGAGAGTTCTATAGGCATCTAGAGGGTATAGGGCAGAGATGCTAATGTCATCCTATAGTGCACAGGACACCTTACCTCCAACACCTCCCCAATCCCCTCCTCCAGACAACACACACACACATAGGGAAAAATTATCTGGCCCCAAATATCAATAGTACTACTTTTGAGAAATACTACTCAAGATAAAATTCCATTATTTTCTGTAGTTGATACAATATAACAAAACACTATGGAAATTTAATTACTTAGTCACTCCCAATAAGTATTTTTTGAGTTATCACAATGTGACAGGTACTGTGGAGACGGAATAAAGACAATCACTATCTTTAGAAATTGTCCAGTGAGGACAACTTACAAAACTCAGGCTCTTACTAGAAAACTCAATACCATCTGTTATCTACTTCTATTTTGAGCCTAGTTGAGAGAAGTGATGGTTGAAATATTATTTGAAAAACTTGCAGCCCATTGATGTATCTAGGAAGTAGAAGTCCTTGAATCAAGTTGGATGATATTCAGATCATGTTGTCTTAAATCCTGGAAGAAATGCTCTCACTAAGGTCACTGAAGAAACATGTGAAACCATAACTAACTGCCCTCAGTTGCCCCCTATGGAAATTAAATTTCTTTAGAAATTGGAATTCAAATGTCTCTTCCTCTCTGATTGCCAAGTGTATAATTCACAACTTCTCTTTACTCTGACTGCCAAATCATTACTGAGTTAACTCCAAGGCTCAATTAACCATGGAGAACCTTTGAGCCTGAATATTTGATTGATTCCCCATGCCCAACCTAGCTGTCTTAACTGACAATTTCATTTTCCTGGTTCTGAATTCTCTAGTTATTCATACTTTACCTTCATTTTATTACACCTGTTCTTGCCATAAATTGTTTCAATTAATGGGGTCAGGCATGAATAAAATTAAAAGTGAGGAAGAGCAATCAAGAAACACCTACAATCACACTGCTAGACACATGCGCTTGCTGGGCTGGCGCCCTGAACAAGGCCCTTAATGAAGAAAACTTCCTGAGAGCTCATACTGTACCCAACAGAGAAAGGTAGACAAGGTGTTACTTCAGTAAAGAGGAGAGGAGAGTGAGGAAATGTCCTAGGCAAGAAATAAAAGCACAGAGGCAAGAAAGCCTGGAGCATTCAGGGAACTACAAGAGGTTTGCTTTTGCCAGAACAGAGGGTGGTTTTGGGGAATGGTGAGGCACAACGCGGAGAGGTGAGGTAGAGGCCTCACTAGGGACTGTGAACTCTGGACTTGAAAACATGCTTAGAAATATGAAGACAGACAGGAACTCGTTGCAGTAATCCAGGAGAGGAGATGACCCACAAAGGGAGACTGTCAGTTTCTACACAGATCAGGCATCTTTAATGAACCAATCCCTGAAACTGAAACCAAATCGCATCCTCACCCCATCCCCACCCGCTTACCAACATTAACCTTTATAACACCACCTGGAAAACCGAAGTCATTCCCCAAAACAGTATGAGAGGAATAAGACAATGGTCTTTGGACAAAACATATGAATCTTGATTCCTAGGTTTTCCATTTTCCTTTATCTGGATTTACAAGTAGCCCTAATGAGGAAAACTAAGCAACTCTGACAGCTCTCTCAGTCAGGACAGGCAGCAAGAACTTGCTATGATTTGATGTCTCCAACTGTTCCGATCACAGTTTCTAACACAGAAATAAAACTGTCGAGTGTCTCAGGCCTCGCCTCGCTTTGTTTCACGGAGACCTGCATTTCTAAGCGCTCAGGGTCCGACAGCAGCTCTGTGAGGAACAGACAACCGGTATCGTCCTGTGCGCTGAGGTAGGCTTTCCATGGCCGCGCCCCAGCCCTGCTCATCGCGATGGTCTGGATGTTCACCACTTGCAGGGCCATCTGGAGGGTGTCACGGTGGACTGCTCCCTGCCACGGGAACACCTGCTGGTGAGCGACTTCGAGGCTAAGCCAAGTTTTCTCAAAATGTTCTGCAGTAAGCTGGCGGTCCGGGACTAGCATGAGGGCTGCAGAATCAGGGAGTTCTTGTACTTTCTCCTTGTTCTCTTCTGGGATCAGGGGTCCTGAATGAATTAGAAAACTTGTGTAAGAGATGTCCTTAATCTTCAATGATTATATAGATTTTTTAATATAGATTTCCAAAGTGCATAATGTGACTTTTATCATTGGATCCATGGCATAAATAGCCTTTGATGAACTTCTTTCTTGCTCACAGTGGGTTTGAATTAAGGCAACAGCGTAAGATTTAGCTAGGGTGCTTTACTTTCTAACAGGCATTGCAAAAAATGAATATTTTTCATGACAAAGTATAAAGAACTATTTTTACCTGACGTGGCAAAGGATGCAGTGTTGAGAAGCTCCGGGCCACAGCGCTCTGCCCCCGGGCATTTAGAGATGGTTGCCCAGCGGGCTTTGCCATACACTGGCACCAGAGTGTTGAAGTCTGAAGCCCAGTTATTCACAGGCCTTTCCGCCTGGTCCTCCAAAAGTCCAAGAGAAGGGTCAGATTTAGGGCTACACAGGACTCGCTTAACTTCATCAACGCCAGCTAAGAGGAGGCGATAATAGAAGAGACCTCTGTCCCGTACAGCCATATCTTTTTCTTCCTCTAAGGTAAAACAACAGACTGAGTTAATAAAAACATAACCAAACCTCCTACTCCCATGCCAACCAAAATGGGGAGAGAGGAATGACAGAGGGAGGAAACCCAAGAAAATATTAACATTTTCTTCCTGGATCCCAGATAGGACCGGCCAGACAATGAAAACGATGTTAAGTTTCACTACTGATCGTGGCAAGAACTATGTCCTTCTTCTTCTTCTTTTTTTTTTTTTTTTTTAAGAACTATGTCCTTCTAAAGAACCTACCTATGCAGTAATACAGCAGCCGCCCCAGGGTGTCCTGGCACTCGGCAGGCCGGGAGAGGAACAGGCGCAACAGCGCAGTGAGGAGCTCCATCTTGACAGCCGGAAAAGTCTCCGACTTCACGTTCTCTACAAAGTCTTCCAACACATAAGGAGCATTGGGAATTCTTTCCCCGTGGACACCCAGTAGCCAAATAAGCGCCTGTTTTCCCTAGGGAATCAAGGAATGAGAACAGGTGCTCACCATTTGGCTGGTCAAAACAGCAGATAACAGACAGTTGCAGTTTTGCTTTCCGCCTAGTATCAGCAGAGAAAGTCTCATCTCTCATTTACATCCATTTCCCCTGCTATACTCTCCACAAGGAATAGGAAGGAAATTCTTCCATACAAAAGGAGACTCAAGACTTTCATAGCTTATGCTGACGAAGCAAGAAGGCTTCTTCAGCTTTGGGGCTTCTGCCCCCAATTGGGGTTTCATGTTTCAGTGGAAGTTACTGAAAAATTTCTCCAAATTACTTCGTGGCGGCAGTGATAAACCTACAGTGCAGAGCATAGTCATTTGTGAAGCCCCTTAAAAGCACTTGTGCCTAAAAGAAGAACAACAAAAATGACTGTGCCTAGGTCAAACCACTCTTAATCATTTAAGACAGAGACCTGGGGTGCACCCCAAATATTTATAAAAATTCCACAAATGTTTCTGTCTTTGATCCAGCCCCCCCCCAAAAAAAAAAATCCCATGGTCTAACTATCTGGTTCAAAACTGTTCAAGAGAACAGAAATATCAAAGTATCTATAATCAAACTGTAGCTAAATCCCATATATAGAGACATAAATTTTATAATGTATATCCCATTGAGACCCAAAAAATAAAATGAGGTGGTAATTAATTCTACGAATTTCTACTTCACATACTGGGTAGAAAGAATAATTAAATCTAGCTCAGAGGGGAGGGCCCCAAGCAATCCCCCTTAGCCTGGAGTAAAGAGAATGACAGTCAACCTCACTGTCTTCAATGTTCTCCTCACAGCCAGGCAGGGCTTGACACACAGCTTCTGTACACTGAGGACACAACCAAACCAGGTCTCGGAAAGTTTGCACCACCACTGCAACACAGCTCAGGACACAAGAGCACAGGGTTAGAGCCTACTGCGGAAGGAATCTTAATAAGGCATATTCACACTAGATTGCTGGGTGAATTTGGGTCAAATAGGTATTAGGGGTGGTGTGATTACCTGAGAAATGTCTCACTTGGGCAATCATTTCTTAAATGATTGTTGCTCTTACCAGATTATATGAGGATAAATGAGCTAAAGTATGTAAAAGTACTTGGTAAAATGTAAAGCTGTATGCAAATGTAGGGTAGTATTGAATAATACTCTGAAAACAGTATAATTGGAGCCACCAGGCTGGTAATATGGTGAGAGAAGCAAAGTGCCGGGGAATAAAATTTAAAACAAGCAGGGTTCACACTTACACAAACCTGAGTGTTTCTTTTAATCTTTGTCTCTTAGGCACTGTGCTTGTCTTACCCGAGGCCCAGCCCTAGAAACCACCATTTACAATAAGTTGTCATAAAGCAAAAAAGGGGGCTCAAACAGGGTCATCCCAGCATCCTTTATTATCTGTAATAGTTTTATAGATCCACAGCAACCTGAAGGTTCTCTGTTAGATCTGTAGAGCCTCTGCTTCTCTGATGATAACAGAGGATGATGCAAAGGAAAGTCTAAACCTCCATGTTAGTCACTAACAAATATTTTTGGAGCAAGGCCTAGACAGTTGACCTAAAAAATAAAAATCCCAGTAAGGTAAGCCATTACCTGTGGTAATGTGCTCTTGCCGAAGCCCTAGCAACTCTGTGAGAATCTGTACACATTGCTCTGTGTAGGTCCTGGCAATACCACCTACGGAGGAAGGAAAGGCAGAAGAAAGCACTAGGTCAGATAAGAGCGCCTCATTCTACAGCAATTTCACACCAAAGACAAAGAAGACCAAAGATACCTTAAAAAGTAACCCTTGAGGGCCTCCCCGGTGGCGCAGCGGTTGAGCGCTGGGTTGCGAAGCTGCGCGCGGCCTCTGCGGTGCCGGTTTGATCCCCGGCTGCTCCCTGGCCACCGGAGGAGGGTCCCACATGGCGCGCAGACCTCTCCTGCCTCCCGCTGCTCCTCTCAGCAGTGTACTTACTCACTCTGCCTGTTCTACTCTCCGCTCTGGCTCTGGTGAATTCTCTCACCCTCCCGCGCTTCTGACTGTACCCAGTGCATGTATAAACAAAACAAACAAACAAACCAGCAAACAAATAAATAAATAAAGCATGCCTCTATAAAAAAAAAAAAAAAAAGTAACCCTTGAGCCTCCCTGGTGGCCTAGGGGTTAAGCCTCAGTGCTATCACCACTACAGCTTGAGTTCCATCCCTGGCCAGGGAGCTAACCCACATGATGCAGCAGACCTCTCCAGTCTCACCCACTGCTCCCCTCAGCAGTGTATTTCAGTAGATCTGCATGTAGTGTTCCCCACTCTGTCTCACCTCCCTGTACCTCTTGTCTACACCCCAGTCCTTCTACACACACACAAAAAAAAAAAGTTAAAAAAAGTAACCCTTGCTTGATGAAACAAGATTTTAAGTTGCTATAAGGGTACTTTGATAAAAATGAATCCACCTTTTTTCCAATTGACCACCAGAAAGGATGGAAAAAGAATTTCCCGTTGAAAAGGGCTGAAAAATGTTAGTAACAAAGGTATTTTTGTGGCAACTGGACAGGAGGCACTGTTTACTGTAGATATGGGAATATTCCTGTTGGGAAGAACGTGACACAGTCTCCCAACTGTGGTTTCTACTGTCCTCTTTGTTCCCTCTTTTTTACCCTAATAATGACCATGCTTTCCTCTGAATGTGAAGGCTCCTTCTCTTTCACGTGAAGTCCTCCAAAACTCAGCTCCCTCGTCGCTTTCCTTTTGTATCACTCTACACTTTTAAATCCCAGACAGGAATTGTATGGGGAATATACCCAAAATGAAAATGCATACATTGTGCAAAAATGAAAAATTATGTGAGAATTATGTAAAATAAAATATATTAAAAAAAAAATAAATCCCGGACAGGGTAGTATGAAAAAGTCTGCAAGACTTAGGACTTAATCTATGGTGTGTACTCAACATAACACATGGTCCATAGGAGATCAACACATGAATGGTGAGTTTGCACAGGACTTTGAATTAGGAAAGCTGGGTTTGGGAATTACATAACCTTTTCATAATTTAATAGCCTTTTTATGCCTGAGTTTCTTATCTTTAAAATGAAGTTCGTAAAACCTGCTCATTTTTCCTGACTGCCTTAAATACTATGTTAAGATGATATGCAGGAAAGCATTTTAGATAGGAGGCAACAAAATGCAGTGTGAATTTTAAGTACTATAGTTTGAATTACCTGTATTCTCTATCCTGGAATATATGGCAGCATATATTTAAAAAATTAAAAAAAAATCCCTCCCTGCCTTGTTCTAGTCATTGATCCGGTTCTTTAGTCCATGGTACTTTGTCTCATTCCCTTTTCCTCTTTCTGGTTATACAGCTTTCTAGCAGGTTGGTCCAGGCTCTCAACACGAAGGCCACAGACACCTACCTATGGCAAAGATGGCCGCCTGTGCAAAGTCAGCAGAAACGTCAGTGCAGTAGCCTCGAAGCTCTTCCAGCACCTGCTGCACGTTCTCGTCATTCACCAGCTCACAGAGCACTTCCACCTTCTGTAGCTTGATGTAGTGGGGCTCCGAGTAGGAGCAAAAAAATTTTTTGTAGTGGCTGCTAAAGTGACCTGGCAAACTATGCAAGATCTGCCGCACGTGACAGAGGGCAGCAAAGCAGAGCTCACGGCTCTCTGAAGAGCAGGCTGCCAGCAAAGCCCCCTTGACTCGCACTAGCACGTCAGTTTGTACGTGGGGGAATTTTTTTGCCAAGATCAGAAAGAGTTTGGTGGCCCCCATCACCACACCTGGGCTACTGCTCTTGAGGAAGCTGTCCAACAGGTTGAGAATGTCAAATAGTTCCTCGTCGCTGCGGGGTTGGTAGCGGAGCAGAAAGTTCAAGACTTCAGCCTGGCCCCATTGGTCCAATTTTGACATTCTAGCCAAAAAAGGAAATAAAGTGCTATTTTAGCAACAAAAATAAGGGCCATCTCCATGCTATTGCCATGTTCACAGACATCTATTCATCAAACCAAAGGGGGAATTAATGAAAATAAGCTGTACCATAATCGAATCATTCTTTTAACATAGAATTTAGACACAAAACAGGCTATAAATTCCATGACCAGTTTATAATAGAAAAGTATACTCATCTGGGCCTCCCTGGTGGCACAACGGGTTAAGCACAGCACTGTGAAGCTATCCACAGCCTCTGCCACACGTGTTCAATCCCTGGCTGGCCAGGGAGCAACCCACATGGTGCAGCAGACATCTCCTGTCTTGCCCACTGCTCCCCTCAGCAGTGTGTATCTGTAGATCTGCCTGTTCTGCTCCCCATTCTGTCTCTGATAAATCCACTCACCTCCCACACCTCTGGCCTGTACCTCAGTTCTTGTATGCATAAATAAATCAATCTTTTTAAAAAAAAGAAAAGTACACTCATCTAAGGTCAAAGACATGGTCAGTATACCCCAGGTTCAGATTCTCTACATTGGAACAGCATAAATGGCTTCGTTCGGGGGACACAATGACAGTAGAAGATGACAGAACCTGTTCGCACAAGGTATTTCTACCATCTCTCTATTTTACCGTAAGAAATTAAGGCAAGCAAAAGAAATCCTCTCAGTGAACTATGAGAAAGTTAATAGTTAAAGTTAACTTTCTTTTTCTACTCTACAGAAGTTGTTCAAGATGTCTCCTTAATTCAACACAGCAACAAGATCCCACTACGACGCAGATCTCATCATAATAAAGAGTACTGGGCATCCAGACCGATTTAACAGGTGGTGAGCGATGGGCTTATTGATGACAACACCTCCTTCCTGCTTCAGAATTTCCTCTAGAGACCTCAGGCAGTTCACAACCACAATTGGATCCTGGTCACGCAGCAAACTATATAATTCATTTACCAGGGCACCATCTAGAACAGAGAACAAAGATCTCAGATAAAGAAGAAAAGCTTCACAGTCACAGAACTGGAACTACCGTCACAGCTTTAGGAGGACAAAGTTGACAAAAACAATAACAGCACAAGGCAAAAAATATTACCTTCAGACTGTTCTAAGTAGCTAACGCAAAGGATCTCACCTGGGTCCCAAACACCAAGCTCCTCATCCTACTTCTACTTAAAGAGAAGTATAAAGAAGTAGGACCACATTATCACTGTCTGTCAAAGCTACAAAATTTTTTGTAAAATCATACACATAGTGGAGTCACTAGTAACTATTGATTATTATGGATTACACTGAAACTTACCCACTTCAGAATCTTCATGAAGATTATGCATCTTGGCACAACCAAGGACAGCTACTCGCCTGACGTAGGAAGCCTTATCCCGAAGACCGTTGAGAATAGGTTGTTGGATATACTCCTGCACACCCGGCATCCTAGGAAACATATCCTGGAGTCAGTCAGATCCTGAAATACTAGTTTTGACAAACTTCTGCACCTATGCATTTAACGGAGGGTTTAGTAGATGTCTGAATGTGCATCCCTCATCTCATGCAGAACTGGAGAAAGCAGCTGCCAAACTTTAAAAGCCCTAGTTGATGTTTCATTTGGAATAATGCTGCCCAACTGTGTGTGTGTGTGTGTGTGTAAAATATATATGTAAAAATTATCTAGAAATCTTTAAACAAAACCAAGAATTATTTCATGGAATAAGATTGCAAGACGCCTTTAATGAAACCATGTAATTTTTTTTAAGCCAAAGTAATGGCTAAAAACCTGAGTTCAGGTTACAACGGTGTTTTCCCCATTATTAAGAAGCTCAAATAAATTGCCATCATTAAAAAGTTTCCTCCTCGATCTCCTGAACTCATCAGCCACTGAGAAACAGACAAGAGGGGGCTCACCTGAGGCTACACATGCTCCGCAGCGCCAACCCTCGCACCATCGGGTTGGGGTCTGAACAATCTTTGCACAGTGTGTTGATGGCTAGGAGAGCCAGGTCTGGTTTAAGGGGGGCATATGTGCACATGTACAGATAAACCAACTTCTTCTGAACAATATCTACAGTGGCACTGGCCTTCACCATTTCCATGAAAACACCAGACATGTCCAAGCCCTGAGTCATGTGCCTGAAATCAATAAGCAGAGAGGGAAGAATAAAATACATATCTTCAATCCACAAGAGGTCAAACTTAAATACTTCCTCGTTATCCAACTAGATTGTGATCTCTTGGGGAGAAGCAAGCAGACTGATCTTGTCTATTATATTTAACACAATACTTCACACCGTGGGCCTGCAATAAACATTGTTCTATTAAATCAATAAACACTATTGAATCCCTAGTAAATTCCAGTGAAATTCAGCTTTTATATTCCAGGAAAATGTTCTGGGGACATAATCTTGAAGGAAGCATGGCCTCAGATCTCTAGAATTCAAAGTCTACTAAGAAGCCCAGAAATGAATGCCACTAATTATAGCACAACAGATAAGTATTATGAAGAAGTAATGGGCAAGGTGAAGTGGGAACCCAGAGGTCTAACACTGCCAGGGAATCAGAAAATGTTTTGACAGAAGAAGAATACTTTAGCTGAATGAGCAGGAGCTCACTAGGGAGGTCTGGCAGACAAGTACATGGTATCAGGTATGTAGACACGAGTACAGATGGCACATTCTCTCTACTGTCTGCAGGTAGTTGGGTTAGTGGGGTGTTCCTTGGGTGCCATGATAAGAAGTTTGGACTTGATGGATCACTGTTTCTCAAACACTGACTTCCTAGAGCAATCAGATGGGACGGTGTTTTGTGATGCAGATTCCTGAGTCCCACCCCAGGCTACTGAAATCAGAATTACCAGGTTGATAAAAAAAAAATTACATAAAAAATGCACCCTAAGGAAATTTGCACATACTAAATTTGTGGCCCACAGCTGTAGCCAAGAATTGGATGTTCAAATTCACTTACTGAAAAAAGTCTGGTGGGGAAAAAAGGAGGCAAGGTGACCTACTAGTAAGCTACTGCTATTGCTTTGATGATGAAAGCAGAACAGCAGCCATCCATCCCAATTAAAAACTTTTTTTTAAATGGATATTTAAAATTAAGAATCCCTATCATCTGACTAGAGGAGTGATGCTCAGGTGTCTTCAAGGTTGACACCCACGCATGGTCAGCTGGGTGCTGACATTCATCAACACAAATGTAAGTGGGAGAGCAGGTTTGGAAAAGGGGGAGGATGTAGCTGCTATTTGCATGTCTTTGAAGAAACATTCAGGTGGAAACGCCAAGCAGGCAAGAGGATATGTGGGCCTGCAGATCAAAACAGGGAGTTCTGTGCTAAATATCTATCACAGATCCTGGACTCGGCAGTTCAAGACATGGACGCAACCACCCGGCTGAATATAAGTCTCACAGGGAGACTGAGGCGGCCCTGCAGAGAAACAGAAAGACCAAAACATAAACTGCCAAGTGTGAAAGTTCATTTACTCCTGGGCAGTGGCCGAGGGAGGAGGGCAGGGCGGGGGTGGCGGTCAGCAGCGCTGGGAGATACCTAATCACTCGCTGGATGACATTCCGGTAGCGCAGCCTGTCGGCCTGGACGTGAGGGTTGCACAGAGCCTTCTTGAGCTCCTTCACCACGTCCTCGGAGCCCAGGTACGGCATCTTCGCCCCCGGCCACGGGGCCGTGCCCACAGCCCGGGGTCACCCGTGGGCTCCTCGCCCCGACGTGGGAACCTGGGTAAAGCAAATGTCAGTCAGCGCGGAGACTGACGGGGCCGTGCCCACAGCCCGGGGTCACCCGTGGGCTCCTCGCCCCGACGTGGGAACCTGGGTAAAGCAAATGTCAGTCAGCGCGGAGTCGGGGACTCGCGCCCAGCCTCGGCTTTCCCAGGCGGCCCCAGGCCCTAGTACACAAACGCAAACGCTCTCTGCTCCCCGGCCAGGCCCACCCTCGACGGCTCGGCGCCTCCGCGGGACGTGCTGGCCGCTTCGCTCCACCCCGCTGCGGCTACCTCTAGGCCCCGGGCGCGGTCTCCGGCCGGGCCGCCGGGTCCGCAGACCCCTCCTCCTCCAGCGCCGGCCTTTCTGGCGCCTCCATGCGGTCGCGGGCATGACAGGCAGGAAGTCCCGCCCCCTCCCGCGCGCCCGCCCCGAGCAGCTGCCACTCACAGTCTCCCGGGGAGCGCCGAGCGCGCCCGCCCCGACCTCAGTGCCCTTCCCCCAACCTCTCACCTCCCAGCGCAGCCGCGCGGCTCCCTCTGGCGGAGGGCGGCGGGCGCTCGGCCATCGGCTGCTTCGGCCTGTCTCAGCCCCGCGGCGCGCGCTTTGAGCGGCGCGCCCGGCGCGGTTCCCGCGCGTGGGAGCGGGGCGCGCCCTGAGTCGCGGGCGATTCGCGCCTCCACCCGCGCCCCGGCGGCACCTCCTTTCGTCCACCGCCCTCTGACCCCCAATGGGCTGGCTTTCCTGAGCGGCTCCGGCCCGGGGCTGGCCCCAGCGTGGCCTTCTCGGCGCGCTGTCCCGGGAACCCCGCGCGGGGTCCCGGCCCCGTGAAGAGCCCACCCGGGGCCCCCAGCCCCGCCGCCATGAACGGGCTCCTGATCCCCCACACGCCCATCGCGGTGGACTTCTGGAGCCTGCGCCGGGCCGCGTCGGCGCGGCTCTTTTTCTTGTCCCACATGCACTCGGACCACACCGTGGGGCTCACGAGCACCTGGTCCCGGCCCCTCTACTGCTCCCCCGTCACCGCCTACCTCTTGCACCGCCACCTGCAGGTAGGGGGGCCGCCGTGGGCCTCTGTGCAGGCATCTGCTGGGGACCCCGATCTGGCACACAGCTCTGGAGTCACTGCCTAGTCATTAGTCAGGACTAATTTTGACAAAAGTGGGAGTTGTTTGCATCCAGAAATGCATCTTTAGTCCGCAATAGGAGCGTGACTTCCAACTGGCTTTCTTGGGAGGTTGTAGCTATAAATTGGGGAGATCTTTGAGTCCCGCCAAGAAACTGTTCCTGCTTTTCACACAAGCTAAACCGGTGCTGCCCAAACTCAGCTCCTCACAAGAATCCACCTTATTGTGCCGGGTAAATGTATGGGTTGTCCAGCGGCCGCCCCTTGATTCGTAGATACATCTGGGGCAAGTGCTGGAGTTTTTTTTACCAGTTACCCCAAGGGGTTATTATTTCTACAGAAGTTTAAGAATCGCTAACTAGACCGTTTCCCGGATTCTAATTGAAAATTGTACACAGGGGTGGGGCATGGGAGGAGAAACGGGGTTGTTTGACCAGCTTTCCCTGGCTGGGGAAAGGGATAGTTTTGATCTACAGAGTAATCAGGGAGGAGTTCTGTCTTTGTTGTGACGACCAAACTGTTTCCTCAGGTATCTAAGCAGTGGATCCGAGCCCTGGAGGTTGGTGAGAGCCATGTTCTGCCTCTAGATGAAATTGGGCGAGAGACCATGACCGTGACCCTCCTAGATGCCAATCACTGCCCTGGATCTGTCATGTTTCTCTTTGAAGGATACTTTGGAAACATCCTCTACACAGGTGGGCCTCCTGCGGGGTCCTGCTCACCTTCCCAGCCTAATTTTCTTGAGCAGCCTTAGCTCATAACAGACTTTCTGGACTTCTCCTACCTTATGAACACAGTGACCCCTTTTTTTATATCTGATGTCCCACTCTTTTGGGTTCGAACCTTGTGAAAAATAATCCAAAAAGCCAGGAGCAGGATGGGAACATTTCCACATAGGAGCTATATACTACATTAGTTCAGCGCCACACTCCATGACAGTTTCTCCACAGGTCAACAAATACCTGCCCATTTGTTGGAGGTAGATGAGGTCAGTCTTCTGTTTTATTGTCTCCGCCCCCACCCCTGTATTCTTCAGGTGATTTTCGATATACACCATCCATGCTAAAGGAACCAGCTCTGAGAGTGGGGAAACAGATCCATACATTATACCTGGACAACACCAATTGCAACCCAGCCCTGGTTCTTCCCTCCCAACAAGAAGCTGCCCGCCAGATCATTGAGCTCATTCAAAAGCACCCACAACATAACATAAAGATCGGTGAGTGGTGTCCATTCCTTTTTCTCTCACTCAGAGCTACTAAATCTAGGTTCTTTGGGGGGTAAGGAGGGAGAGGTTCACACTTTCAAGACTTTGCACAGAACTCCCCTTCTCCATGAAAGCTGCCCTGACCAATTTATTTAAAATTACAGCCTGCCCAGCAGCCCTCCTCTCACACTCCCAGCTCCTGATCCCTACACTAACGGAACTTTTTCACTTTCCCATAGTGCCCATTACCTGTCATGTCTTAATGTGCTGTTGCTTATTGTTTATTGTCTACCCGCCACTTCCCCTGCCCTCCACTCACCTGGACCACAAACTCCTTGAGCTCATGGGTGGAGGTGGGAAGAAGTCGTGTGTTTGTGGAACAGAGAAGCTGCAGCCAGTGTGACCCGCACACAAGGGTGAGGAGGTAGGAGAGGCAGGAGGGGCTAAAGTACTTGTTAGCCATTTTAAACTTGAACCTAAACACCAACATTGCTCTTGGAACAAAGAACTATTGAAGGATTTTAAGTTGGAAAGGGACAGCGTTGCACTCATCACCTTGCGGTGTTTACCATAATTTAGGTTCATTACCATATTCAGTTTTTACTATTTGTCTGTCCCTGCTCGAGTGTAAGTTCCACGGTGGCTGAACTATTTGTTACTTATGACTATGTCCCAAATGCTTAAATTAATGCCAGATAGAGGTATTCAGTAAATATTTGCTATATGAGCGAATGAAATTTATCTGGATTTAGATATTCAAATGAGAGTACTGCCTAAAATTAGATACATTGAAAACCCAGCTGAGTGCTTATTCTAGCAGTTCCACAATAGTACAGGACAAGAGGACTCCTTTGGAATTGTCTTTTGAGATAATTTCTGAGAAGCAATTTTTGTTTTTAAAAATATAACAGATTTAGTTCTAATCACCTTTTGATTTTTCCCAAAATTATAAGTCCCCAAAAGGAAAAAGTTTTGCCACCGTAATGAATATTTAAAAGGTTATGGCCAAACTCTGAAATCCCTCTGAAAGGGGTTAAACAAGGATATTGAAAAAAGTTTCATGCCTGCCAGAGAGACCACCAAATTGATCAAGGAATGCCCATTACTCTCTGGTTGCTTCACTGCTTGTGAAGACCTCTCATCCTAAATATTGGAATTTTCCCAGAGTTTTAGGCAGTTTCCCAGCTGCCTAGAGGGTGCTGTGGCGGGGCTTGATTAATTTGGCAAATATATAAGCCCTTACTATGTGCCAAATACTCTTTTGATAGGCCCTGGGGATAGAAGGATGAGTAAAATATCTTTTAGCAGAAAAGGACCTAAAAGAGGTTTTAAGGGAAGGAGGGGGCCAGGATAGGGAGAGAGAAAAAAATCAGCTATTTTTGAGCTAGGTGAAGAATAAGGGGAATATAAAAGAAATATAAATTCTTTGATAAAGTTCATAATCTGCGTAAGAACTTGAAATACACCTTCAGAAAAGATCTGAGAATGACTATTAAACAACTTCTCCCACATCTGTCACCACCACCGTTATTCAAATTCAGGCTCTGTTTTTTCCCGTGTAAGTTCTATTTAGGCCTTTTAACTAATATTTTTGCTTACAACGCCTTGTCAGCCGGCTGTTGGAGAATACTGCTTAGTGTTACTATAACAGCACTGTTAACATAACTGCTCTGGTTATATTATGTCTATGATTAGAATTAGCCATGTCCCCATTTCAGGCTCCTTACTAGCTCCCCTTCACTTACAGCATGAAGTCCAGCCTCCTTAGCAGTTTATATGAGGCCCTCTATTATATGGTCCTTTTCTAGTGTCATCTCTTACCAGTCCCTTCTTTTTGCTTTAGTAACACCAAACTGACCCCTCTTGAAAGTTCTCTACTGTGACCTCCATCCTTGAAGACTTAGTCAGGTTAACTCAGACCCACCCTTGAAGACGTAGCTCAGATGTCATTTTCAGGAAACCCCATGACCTCATATGGTAGATACTTTTCTGGACCTATCACCTCCACTGCCCTTAACTACATGGTTTCTAGGTCTCTGGAGATTATACCCTTGGAGAGCTGAGACTTGTTCTCACGGTGCCTAGCCACTGGTCGATGCCTTTCTCTGTTGAAATGAGTGAATTCTGTTTACCTCTCTCCCCATTCTCCATATAGCTCAAAAGCCATCTCCCTGAGACTCCCCAACATTAATTTTGTGTATTTTTGTTAAATATTCAGTTCATTTACTGGAATTTCATAGCAGCTTCATTCTCTTCCTTTCCTCAATCCCTTTAACATTTTTCAGGACTTTATAGCCTGGGGAAAGAGTCACTGCTGGAGCAGCTGGCCCTGGAGTGTCGGACCTGGGTGGTATTGAGTCCTCAGCGGCTGGAGTTGGTCCAGCTGCTGGGCCTGGCAGATGTGTTCACGGTGGAGGAGAAGGCTGGCCGCATCCATGCCGTGAACCACATGGAGATCCGCCATTCCGCCATGCTGCGGTGGAATCACAGCCACCCCACCATTGCCATCCTCCCCACAAGCCGGAAAATCCACTACTCTCACCCTGATATCCACATAATCCCTTACTCTGACCACTCCTCCTACTCTGAGCTCCGTGCCTTTGTTGCAGCGCTGAAGCCTTGCCGGGTGGTGCCCATTGTCCGTCGGCAAGCCTGCTGGGACTACTTTCAGGACAGCCTGAGCCCCAGGCTCTCTCTTCCTCCTGTTCCAGACTCTGTGCAGCAGTACATGAGTTCCTCCACTAGAAAACCAACCTTCCTCTGGAAGTTGTTAGAAAGGAGGCTAAAGAGGCCGAAAACCCAGGGTGTTGTGTTTGAACCCCTTGAGGAAGATGCTGATCAGTCTCAAACTAAGAGCATCTCAACGAAGGCCAAGAATGCAAGACTTTCTGGGGGCCTTGGGAAGCTGCCTCCCCGCTGTCCTTCGCAGACCCAGAAACAGTTATTCCCAGACCTCTGCAGCAAGGCAGTTCCTTTCTCTGAGTCCCGGAAGATGGGGCCTAGCCTGACTGCCCCCTTGGGTGTTTCAGTGCACTTAAGGTCTCCAGATGAGGAATTTATTTCACCAGAAACTGGGAAGGAAATTGGTGCAGGGTCTCACTTGGTCTCCAGGGGAGACAACGCTGGCTTCACAGCCACAGGGACCCAGCACACTTGGCTGGGCCAGGATTCTACCCTGTCTCACAGCAGCCAGGCTGCCCCTCTTCTCGCTCCTGAGTTCAAGGGCCTGGCACTAAAATACCTTCTGACACCTGTGAACTTTTTCCAGGCAGGGTTCTCTTCCAGGGGCTTTGATCAGCAAGTGGAAAAATACCATAAACTTTGGCCAGAGTAGACAGGAGAGTGTAGAATGACAACCTCATTTGATCCAACATCGCAGATTTGAAGAGAATGGCTGGTAGGGAGAGTGTGTTTTGGGCCCTCTATTCTGTCCTCACAAGGTCCTTATGGAATCGCCCCAGAGCAGCGTTCCCCAATGTATGTTCATGGGGATCCCAAAACATTTTTCACAGTAGACATGAGCACCTTGAAGGTTCTGCTAAGTCCTGCAGTAACTTAAAACTTCAGCTCAGTGTTCGCCAACTTTTTTGAAAATGGGGGTGTAGAAGATAATGAGCCTGAATCCAGAAGGGCCAGGTCATTCCCTCCATTGTTACTTGGTGTGTCATGTGCCATTCTCTGTGGTTCTCCCCCTTCCTAGATAAAAATCCCTAGGTGGTTCTGTTTTTTAAGTTAGCAGCTGTGGCGCTTGAGGATAAAGTGGTGATCCAGGCAGCACGTTTCAATCCTGAATGTCATTGACTTGCTATGACCCCATCCAAGTGACTTCCTGTCTCTGCCTCTGGGAAGGAACAGGAAGCAATGAAGAGCCTTGGAACAGTGAAGAAAAATTCCACCTCTGCCTCCATGAGAGTTTGCAGCAGTGCCACTGGGGACCTATCTGGAACCCAGCCAGCTGGGGGGTTGGGCACCCCTCACCAAGGGAGTACCTGGAACACAGCTGAACATTAAGGCTCTTAGCTGCCAGAAGGTCCTGACTCTTTGGCTGAAATAAAGTCACAAAAGATCAAATGCATTGCCAGATATTCCTGATAGTTCACATAGCTGAGATATTTGCTGCTCCCCCAATCCCCCCCCTTTGGATTGAGTAGGGAGCCAGAGCACACAGCCTGTTTGTTTTAGTATCCAAGGCAGACCAGGGAGCTAGCTGGGGGGGGTGTGCAGGGAATTCTGCCCTGGCCTGCTCGCCGCCTGACAAAATGCCATACCAATAAGGATGGCAGAGACCATGGCCTTAGGGCATGGGTGAAAACTGCTTCGTAATGGAATCCTGGTCTTTAGCCTTTCTTGTCAAGAGAAAGTTTTCTACTTCTGGGGGAAGATTTGAAAAGTTTAGAAAGCAAGATAAGGCCTGGCTCTTGGGCAAGCTGTGCACAGCTCAGTTTTGTCAGTGACCTTCACTATAAGCCTCCCTGGACCCTCTAGGAGCACAGCAGCTAAAGCAAGTGGCAGAGCAAACAGCAGAGCCCCAGCCCCTTATCTGTAATACAGGTACTGAGATACCTACTTCTCCTGACTGCTATAGAAGCTAGATAGTTGGTAAAAGACTCAATACCTACTACACGGTGGGTGTTTCAAATGCTGATTCTCTTTGCCTCTCTCTTTAAAAATGTTCTGTATATAAAATAAGAAATTTTGGAAATTATGAAAATGTAAAGAAAAAAATCAATTCTAATTCCTTCCTGCAGCTCAATTGTTCTAGTCGTTTTTCTTGGCGTGCAAATATTAAATACATAACTTTTTTTCAAAGTCAGGGTAATGCCGTATATAATTTTATATCCTGATTTTACTATGTTAATATAGTAAATTAATATATTAATATAATGAATTAATATATTTACGATATTAATATATTAAGAATTTCATGTTATTAAATACTACTTAAAGTGTCATTTTTAATAGCTGTATAAGGCCCTCTCAGGGAGTCTACCTTAATTAAAACTATTTCCATATTCAACATTTTGTGTGCTCTTTTCCCCCCAATTATACATAGTACAATGAGCATTCTTATGCATATCTCATAGAATTTTTATTTCCTTGGAGTGAATTACTGGAAGTAGGATCACAGTTTTATGTTTTTGATGCAAATGATGCCCAGTTGACCTCCAGAGAAGCTGCAGAACAGGGCAGTATGAAAATAAAGACACATTAAGTACAAATGATGTCATTTGAAAGGTACATGTTAACCTTTACAACCTCATCTCATAAGTTAGTAAATATTTACTAAGCTGTGTGAGCAATGCTTAGTTGGACTTCCTCCAGGAGCCTCTAGCTGTCTCATTTCTATGCTGTGCTGCCCAAAGGTGGCTGGGAGAGATAGGGTGGCCTGCACTGCAAGGCCCCTGGATTGGCATTATCTTCTGGCAACACGGGAACCTGTGGACTCACGCTGGTCACACATATTCCTTGAATTGGGATCTGTAAATTCAGCTAGGGGATGAGAAGCACAGGCCTTGAGGAACTCAGTTGTTGGTGGCGTGTCTGTAATTTAATGATGGGAAAATTCCATCCTATTTGTCTGCCTTATAATTTGTCTACCTTATAATACAGATTGGCATTTGCTTCATTTGTTTGGTTTCCCAACACTCATAAAAATGCTGCATAGCATATATCTCTAGGAAGCTGATTTGTTTTTTAAAACTAAGGTTGACCCCTTAGATCTAGAAAACCTTGCAGTTAGGCTGCAGGTACTGGGGTAAAGCAAGTTCCCTAGGGATCAATTAGTTATTTCACAATCTGTGGGAAAACTTGTACTTTTCCTGAGACTAAATGTGATTAAAATGAGACTAAATGAGACTAAAAGTGGCTAAAGTCCCTTTGGAGAGAGAAGTTTGCCTGGGGGGCTTTGGGCACCATCAGCACTCAAGACCAAGACTGCCCCTTGTTATAGAAAATAGGAGGTAAGAGAGTCTGTCTGGGGTCCTCCCTGGTGGCGCACGGGGTTAAGATGCAACATATGAAGCTATCCACAGTCACTGCAGCACGAGTTTGATCACCGGCCAAGGAGATACCCACATGGCGCAGCAGACCTCTCCTGACTCACCTGCTGCTCCCCTCAGCAGTGTGTTTCAATCAATCTACCTGTTCTGTTTCCACTCTCTCTCTGGTGAATCCTCTTACCCTCCCTCACCCCTGCACCTCTGGCCTGTACCCCAGTTCTTGTATGCATAAATAAATAATTCTTTCAAAAAAAAAAAGAGAGTCTGCCTGTTCTTTCCTTAAGAGATTTGGGCCCAGGTTCTCTATCTCTTGTTCACTCAGAGAGCTCTCACATTTTGGTGTGGTTCTTAAGCAGGAGAAATTCTGCCTGGGCTTCCACGTGCACATATGTTTGATACTACCACTGGTGGGTCGCCGTCAGTCTGTTTCGGGTCCCTCACCTTTAGCCTCTGTAACCACCACTGCCACAGCTGTCTTGGGTTCATGGTGCTTCCCCTTACTCTTTCCAAGGACATCCCACCTTCATCACTATTGAAAGATTCTGCTATGTCCTTACAATCCTCTGAATCTATAAGTGCCTACAGGGAATTCTCAGAATGGTTAAGTTTGTCTTTATTTTAGCCACAGTGCTTTTATTTAGCTATCTCCTTCCCTCGACTATCTCATTCCTGGGTCACTCTCTTTGAACACATCCTTTCTCTTTGAACACATAGGTCACAGAAAGCACCCAGAATCTTGCTCTTGGTTCTTTCCCTAGAGAGAAAACTTATTGAGTCATCTTTCAATCCCACAAAATTTGTGGCCAGCCCTGGGTTACTGTTTCCCTTACAATATTCAATATTTAAAATGCTATTGTAGGGGCCTCCCTGGTGGCACAAGGGGTTAAGCACAGCACTATGAAGCAATCCGCAGCCTCTGCAGCACAAGTTTGATCCTCCGCCAGCCAGGGAGAAACCCACATGGCGCAGCAGACCTCTCCTGTCTCGCTCGCTGCTCCCTTCAGCAGTGTACATCAGTCAGTCTGCCTGTTCTGTTCCCCACTCTGTCTCTGGTGAATCCTCTCTCTCTCTCTCTCTCTCTCTCTCACACACACACACACACACATCTCTGGCCTGTACCCCAGATCTTGTGTGCATAAATAAATAAATCTTTAAAAAAAATAAAGTAAAATGCTATTTATTCAGCCATCCTATTAGCTCTGACTCCTCCCTTCAATTTACAGTAGTTTTGGGAAGTGGAGGCTGAAGAGTGTGTTCTCAGTGCTACAGTTCCACAATGGATGTGCTCACTAAAAGGTGTGCTTTGAGAAACATGAAAATTGGACCAAGCTCACTTATCCTACTAGTCAGTCTCTGGAGAAACAAAGCATGAGGGCGAGACCAGATTCCTAGGGAGTCAGGGATGTAAAGTTTGGAAAAAACTGACCTTCAGGAAGGAAAACATCTCCATCAGCTAAATTGCTTTCAATTCCCATCCATCTTCTAGGCTTTCACAATCTGCTTGCTAATTTCACTCTCAATGGAAGCAAAAAAAAAAAAAACCTTTTTAATTATCTTTTTTTTTAAAGGCTTATTTATTTATACAAGCACTGGGTACAGTCAGAAGCGTGGGAGGGTGAGAGGATTCACCAGAGCCAGAGCAGGTAGCAGAAGAGGCAGACCGGCAAAATACACTGCTGAGGGGAGCAGCGGGCAGCAGGAGAGGTCTGCGCACCATGTGAGACCATCACCCCGTGGCCGGGGATTGAACCGGCGCTGCAGAGGCTGCGGGCAGCTTCGCAACCCAGCGTTCAACCGCTGCGCCACCAGGGGAGGCCCTTAATTATTTCTTACTAAGAAAACATTTCCTCTACTCATAAACCTTTAGGAACTCAAACTACTTAGCACAGGTATCAAGGCCCAAGCTAGCAACTCACCTGTCCCCAGGATCTCCTACCTGCACAACAGCCATAATGGAAGAGACACAGGTTTTCAGGATGGACAGTCTGGGAGCAATCACCCTTGCACTGATTAGCTTTCTGCACACTCTTAAGCAAGTTACTTTGATTTTTGACATATCAGTTTTCTCATCTGTAGTGTGAGAAGAATAATGTCGACCTCATAGGGTTTCGAGGACAAAGTGACCTAAGTGCCTCACAAAACATCCAGTACATTGAAAAACATATTTTTACTTTATCCTCCCTGCCATGCCTTCAATTGTAGTTATGGTGTAACAGGGTGGTCCCCAGGAAAGGGGGAGGTTCCGGGTTCCCTGCCCCACCCAAATGGAGGGTGGAGCTGAGCAGGGAGAGAAGAAGCTGCAGAGGAGACTGAGAAGGAAGGAAGCAGGATGGAGCCAAAAGGAGACCTGGAGGAGGCGCATGGAGCCGAGAGACACGTGAAGAAACTGCGCTTGCCTTTTGGTCGTGGACTGGGTGACACAGATGTGGGTGAGACCCGTGGAAGTGACAATGGCAGCTTTTATCTTGATGTTGATTTTGCTCTTTTCCTTCCAGGCTTGTCTGGTTGTTTCTGACCCTTTTCTGTGGGTCCCCACTGGAAGGTGCTTTAGACTTGTGGCAGGCTTTGGGGCCTTGCTCTGGGCCAGTCCCATTTGGATGGAGTTTTACCCACGAGGGGACCAGTAACTTTGGGTGCTTGATTTAGAAACTAGATTCTTTGCCTTTTCTGTTTTGTTTCCTAGTTGCATTAAAGTTCCTTCCCATTAAAGTCTCATATGTTTTGTGTTGATGCGTCAGATGGCAGAACCCATTTAGAATAGGCAGATTTGCGGGGTCTGGGCTGCCCCCTCCCTGCCCTGTAACAATGGGAGAGTGAGTGGTTGACATTCCTGGTGCATGCCCTACACAGTGCCATTGGCTAAGCCTGTCTTGCAGGTCTAGAAAAGTCTGTTGAGAGATTGGTTAATGAAGACATTTCTTGGTAGGGAGGTTCCTGGAGTCAGGTCTTGCCAGAAGGATGGTTAGCTGAAGCAGCCAAGGATACCTGTGTCCAGATGGAAAAAAAGAGAATAGGATCAAATCACAGCAAGCTCAAATGCTGAGCAGTTTTAACTGTAAAATCCTAAGGGCAAGCTCAAAGCACAACAGAAGAACAAGTGGCAGGTCACAGGCCCAGGGAGTCCAAAGATGTGTGCAGAGCAGAGCACCTGGGCTGACAGTCCAGGACATTCCATTGTGCGGAGACAAAGGGCCAGACACTGCACTTGATCTGGTTCTGGGTCCTCCTTTCATACCAGCTCTACAAATCAAGCCCGGATCAGTCCCTGACTTCTTGTCAACTCCTACCCTGGAGAAATGAACCACATAGCTGGTGTCACTACATAGTTCAGCCTCTGGCATCCTCAACATTACTTGTCACCTCCTCAGTCCAGGCCCTCTTCTGTGCCTCACTGCTTATTCAAAACTTAAACGACCTCCAACTCTCACATTATGAAAGCCTAGGGAGATGCCTGAGCACTACGGGTACCAGGCTGCCCTACCTTGAGGGGACTCTCTTGGACCGAAGGGACAGGTCTGCTCAACCAGCCCTTCCCCTGAGGTGGCAGCAGAAGAGACCTCAGCGCTGTCAGAAATCCAGGGCTAATACTTAGCCTTCCCAACCTTGTCTCTCTGGGCTCTCCAGCCTCCTGCTCTGCGCTCAGCAAACTCCTCTTACGTTCTCTGCATCTGTTCTGAAAGTCCCTTTCACCTTTCTTTCCTAAGGTGACAATGGGCTCGCCTCTGAGTGCTTGGATCTCTCAACACTCTCAAGCAGAGGCCATTTCTCTCCCCCAACCCCTCATGGTAAAGAGGTGGAATTAAAATCCCTTTATTCTCTTTGCTGACCCATAATACTG